TAGCAGACTACCTTAAACATTATATTAAAGCTGATCAATCCGATTGGGACGAATGGCTAGATTTTGCTATGTTTTCATATAATACAACTAATCATACTTCAACCAAATTCACACCATATGAACTAATATTTGGATATACACCTAATCTACCTAGCAGTATAATACGACCAGTAGAACTCAAATATACATATGAAGATTATTTAGATAATTTAACACTTAAACTTAGAAAATCTCATGAGTTAGCAAAAACGAATCTATTAGAATCTAAAGTAGTCAGTAAAAAATATTATGACCAAAAGATTAATGACACCGTTTTCTTAGAAGGACAATTAGTATATCTCCAAAATGAGCAAACAAAGAAGGGTCAAACCAAAAAACTTACACAAAATTATAATGGACCTTATAAAATTCTAGAGATAAATTCTCCTGTCAATTGCACAATTTTAGTAAATAAAAAACCAATAAAAGTTCACATGAATAGATTGAAACATGCTTTTGTTTCAGGTATGCAATAATATGGCTGACAAATAGTGAACAAATTCACAAGAAATATACCAATACTCCTATCAACAAATCACCTGGAATCTATTACGAACACATAAAAAATGTTCAATTTATTGAAACTCATTGGAACATATTAAGTCATATTCCTTTACAACCTTTTACAGACAAATTAAATTTTGTAGATCTCACCTATCAAAAAACATTAAGACTGTGTCAAAACAAACCAGTTCTTATCGAATTACGATTATGCGATACTTCACTAAAACTCTTAGGACAAATCATACCTAGACTCTTTCAAGATGAACAAACTTTAAAAAAACATAATTCTGCATGAACATTTTAGACCAAAACGCGCTCTATTTAATGCAATTGGATCTGTTTTCAGGACCTTATTCGGTACCTTAGACAGTGATGATGCTGAAAATTTCAATAATGCTATTAACAAAGCTGAAAGTAACGAAAATCATCTTCTTGATTTACTAAAACAACAAATTCATGTAGTAAAAGCCACGATTGCAAATTTTAATAACTCTATTACAAATCTAGACCGAAACAAAGTGATTTTTGATAAAAATTTTGAATCAATTACCAATTACACAGATAAAATGAATAATAAATATTTTAATTTAGATTTAAAACAAAAAATTGAAGAACATTTTACTTTACTAACTTTCTTTATAACAGAATTACAACAAGAATATTCTACTTTAATAAACGTTATTCTATTTGCAAGAAATAATAACCTTCATCCTTCTGTTATAACACCTGAGCAACTAATTCAAGAATTATCTAAAACGGTAACGCATTTACCTAGTACATCGACTTATCCATTTCCATTGACTATCGATTATGCTCATAAATATTTCGATATCATTTTACTTAAATATATATATTTTGATAACAAGATTTTAATTACGGTTAGTATACCTTTGGTTAGTAATACTCCTTATTCTCTTTTTAAACTAATATCTCTTCCTATAATTCATCCAACATTAAAGAGACTTACCTTTATTCTTCCATCTGTCAAATATCTTGTTCTTTCAGAAAATAGAAACATTTATGTTACTATTGATACATTAGAAGACTGTTATTCATTAGATGAAGAAAAACTTATTTGCAAAAATCCTGATACTTTCCGATTTACACACACTAATCCAATTTGTGGAACTGAATTGTTAACTTCAATAACAAACATACCATCTAGTTGCGATACTCGTATAATTCAAACAGAATATGAAATTTGGCATAAATTAAACAAACCAAATTCTTGGATATATGTTTTACCCAAACCAACAGATTTAACTTTAAGCTGTCAGACTAGTACGCCAATATCTATTGTTCTTTCAAACACAGGTATTTTTTCTACTTCGAATAATTGCAAAACTTACACCGGATCAACTATTTTGATATCTGTCTCAAATCCAAAAGAAAGTAATTTTCAATCTATCATTCCAGATTTATCCCTTCCAGAAGTCTGTTGTGATGATATTAAGATAAATAATGAATCCAAATTACACCTTGTTCCCTTACAATTAAATAATCTCGATCGAGATGCATTAAATTTAGCAAGCCATAAACTAGATAATTTAGAGAAAATGACCTCAGAAACAAATATTAATTTTTCAGACACAATAAAAAATAGTTCTTATTTCACTTATGCAATCTTATTTTTGATAAAATGTATGTTACTTTATATTTTATACAGGATAATTAAATATTTTTACCGACGATTTCGTAGAAATCCGTCACATAGTTGTCAACAAATTACAAATTGTTTAACACTAAATATATGTCAAAGTAAACGAAAACATGTACATGAGACAGATTTAAGTATAGATTGTAAACATAATAAAGACAATAATTATAGTGAATCCAAAAAGTGTGAAGAGACTAGTTTCACAGAGACTACACCGATAAGACGAAGTGAAAGACTATCGAGACTAAAAGAAACTATTTAAATGTGTTAAAATAAAATAATAATGTATACAAATGTTTTATACCATTTAAATGAAAATTCATTTTACAATTATTTTCATTCTTACAAAAGGAGGTGTAATGTACCTACCTACTCACATGTAAGATAATTAAAGTATCTATGTATTTCTATATAGTTTTTAGTCACCTGGTATATGTTATTTACAATTATGAAAAGTTCTCATGTATAATCACTAATAATTATTTGCTGTTAGAAATCAGAATCAATACTCTTCATAAATATTTTCCTATTTAGAATAAATAAGTTTCGCTAGTTTATTCGCCTAATACTTCGTATCTATGGAATAATAGTAATTTATTTCTCTTATTTCTTTGTTCGATAAGCTATCCGTATTTGCTATTTTAATATTAATATTTGAGTCCAATCTCTTGTACTCAAATCCATCCAGAAACATCGTTAAATAATTGTAGATAACAGAACTTATAAATTCATAGTTTTAAGAAATAACAGGCAGTGTAATTTTCATCCTCTAATATAATAAATTTATACATGTCAATATATTCTGTTTAATTCCAAAACAAAGAGTTAGTCCGGAGAAGAAATAAACGCATAGTATTCCATAACACTGCGTTATTATGTACAACCGAATTATATAAATCTAAAAACGAACTAAACTCCTTAAAATCACCGTTAAATTTAGGCAGTTCTATTTTAGGCAAGCGAATGTTAGATTTTGGAACTACTACCGACCTAAACGGTTCTGGAGTTTCACATTGTGGCTCAAATAACTCCGCACTAAATAATTTTATTTTATAAAATTGTTCCAAAAATAATTCCCGAACATTTTCTTCGACCCTCGTATCCGCGTCTGGTACAGCAAGAATATTACTAATTATATTTGTGTGGTGTTTCAAGAATTCATCGCGTATTAAATCTAATTCTTCCACCCTGATTTTAAATAAAGGTCGGATCGAAATATCCGAGAGCGATTTAAAACCCAAATCGAATATTATTTGCATATCGTTTAAAACAGTCTTTCTCATAAATTTGAGCTTTCTGTTTTTCTCTTCTAACTTGTCCATTGCCAATGTCTAATAAATTCCAATAATATACAAACGAAAAATGTACAAAAATGTTGTCTAAAACCCCGAAATGCTCGAAATTAATGATTTGAAATTCGATACTTTATTAAAACGACTATAATCTCCTTTTAAAAAATCCCATATGGTGCACTTTAAAAGGTCATAAATTATTCTCGGGTCTCGAAGTTAATAGCTTTCGACAAGAGACGCAACTTAATCAACCCTCAAAACGATAAAAAAATACGACATAAGACGAAACCAACCATTCAAATTTATAATATAACAAAATATTTTTTTTCAACAAATGAGTTCAAATTCGGCGAGATAGGCCAATGTGGGGGTTTAACAAAATAATGTACTATTACGAATTAATAGTACTAAGATTAATACCAGCTATTCCTTCGATAGCTCTGGCAAGATAAATGAACTTTCACTCATAGGGGCAAATAACAAATAATATAGAATTTAAATGGTTGCAAAAACAATCAAAAAACAAACAAAGGTATTAAACTAGGTGAACTTACCGAACCGCTAATTAGGTACCATAATTCACTACTATAAAACCAACCGATTTCGATGCATCGACGCATTCGCGAGGGTTGTGTCTTGCGTCTATTCTGCTCAACGACTTAAGCGCTTGTCCTACGGGATGCATAGCATACCCGAACGGTACGAATAGGGATCGAAGGTATACAGGGGGAGGACAAAATGTCTTGATTAATTTATACAACCATATTTGAATTTAAACACCAACAAATTGAACAACCCCTCTGTCCGATTATGTCGAACGACACCGCTGTACCGTGAGTGGCCGGCTTTAGGAAGCGATAGGTGGTTCGCCCACCTATGAATGAGTTCTTGAATTAGTTCAGAATCCAGCAGCCCGCTGAAGTATTGGATTTTTATAATATAATTATTTGACCTTTTGTTGGCCAGCCACCTAGACCGGAGTTGAGCCGAAACACATATATTTCGTATGTTCCGAATTTAACTCGTTCAATCTGTATATTAGGATGTAATAATAATAACTATACATATTTTTTAAAATGTGTGACATCGGAGATGGACACATATGGCCTGCAAGGTAACAGTCAGTATTATAGTTTGCCCTGTCCTCTCTTTTTTATTGCCTAAAAACGGATACTCACTACGCAGCAGTTGACAAGTACTTGTCAAATATCAAGTAATGTGTATGAAGATGACATAAAACTCGATATGCTACTTTTACTAGCCGTCCACAGCCGGAAAAATACTCAAAAGACAACAAATATCATCCCAAATACTAGCGTCACATGTACTTGACAATGGTTGCACAGTGTATCGAATATACTGGATCTTGTTCATGAATTTGACCAATTACCAGTACTTGTCAATCGCCATGTAATGAGTAGCCGCCTTAATCTCTTTAGAAACTAGGAATAACGTCCCTGACAACTATTTTATAAAATAACTCTAAAATATCACAAAAATGTACTCACTTATGGAGTTTGTGCAACTCTGATATTTTCTTTTCGATGTCGTCGTTCTGATTGGGAACCAGGTGTATATTTGATAAGTAGTTTGGTCCATGTTCATCAGGTTGATAATCACCTAATTCAGCTAAAACATAAACATTTTTAACGGTTTCCTCTGAAAGATTAAAAATTTACTGGACTAAAAACGACTACCTTTTGTATGTAGAGTAATAGGAAAATCATACAAGAAATAAATTGTTTTAATTGATTGGTTTAATGATATAATCCACTATTTATCGGAAACCCAAAAGTTGATGAAAAAGAACAGTAAATTATAAAGAAATACTTCTTACATTGTACAGTATAACTGGCTAAGAGTATGGCAGTGCTTGGAGGTAAATACAATTTTCCTTCTAAAATATCTCTTCTTAATTGTAAATAAAACTGATATCGAGTATATTCCTCTTGAAGTTTACTTGGATCGGATACATAAAACTTAACTCTAAAATGTAAGATATATTGACAGGTTCCTAGCTGCTTCTTTAACGTTTTGGACGGATCTAACCAATGCTAGAACAAAAATATCAACAATTATTTCATGAATAATTCACCCTGACAAAAAAATATTAAATCGAATAAAATTATTTCGTATTTTTAGAAAAATATAATGTTATAAATATAAACTGCTGAGCAATTTAACACATCACCTACAATAAAAAGAAACAGGAGGTATTGATAACTTTTAATGTACCAACTTTCTTATAAAGTAGTCTTTCGACGTTATTTCGGTTTGATATTATTATTTCTATCAACTAGCCATATTTTACAACTGATTAAAATCATTTGAATGGTTAAGTAAACCTTAGTATTTTATGTATTTTAAAAACAACGATACATTATTTTAAGTGCATCTAAAAGTTTTTCACAAAGAAACAAAGAAATAAGGGTCAACTTTGCTGGTTGAGGGATATTACTCCATGAGTATGTTGCTGGTATACTGCAACAAATCATTCTTGCAAAGTTAAGCTTTCTTTTAGTCCATTAAAATTTGGGAATAGGCCATTCTTCTTTGGTGTGTATCAGTACATATGCGCAAATATCTGGGATGTATAATCGTCGAAAAAATCGTAATTAGGGTTGGCTGCTCCCATAGTTTTTCAGAGATACTGAGTCAAATAGACAAATTTTGTATAGTTTTCAGAGATACATAACACTGGTTAATAAATTGTCAAATATTCTTCTTATTCTACCACTAGAATACTCTGTTGATTTTGGCCTGTCTGTTCAACAATTCCTTTTCCTTTTGTCGTTGGCGACTCTTCTCCAATTCCGAATTTCCAGAATCCTTTGATCATTCCTAACCCTCTCTAACCAATACTTTCTACGTCAGCCTCGTGGTGTATTTTTGGCCGGCCTCCATTCGATGATATTTTTTGTATTTCTTTCTTTGCTCATTCGGAGCAAGTGTCCAAGCTAACAAATTCGATAAGACTTAACAAACTTTACTACATCGACTTGTTTAATTAATTCGTCGAGCTCAAAGTTCATGCAGATTCTGTAGTCCCCATTCTGCTCCCGGATATGGCTAAAAATATTCCTGAGCACTTTCCTCTCAAAACTGTTCAGAGCATCTTTGTCTTTCTTCAGCAGGGTTCAGTTTTCACAACCATAGGTCACAATGAGTCGTATTACTGTGTTTTACAATTATATCTTTGAATTCTGCCCTAGTATTATAGAAGTTTTTCTTCTTCTTTCAGTACCCTGTCCGATTATCGAACGTTGGCGATCATATTGGCAATAATAACTTTGTTTACGGCGGCTCTACATAAATTAGCGGTGGTCTCTTGATACCATTCTCGGAAATTTCTGAGCCATGATGTTCTTCTTCGGCCTGTGCCCCTCCTTCTGGCGATCTTACACTGTAATATGAGGTGAAGAAGGTTATACCTCTTTGGATGTCTCATTACATGACCGAAATATTGTAACTTTAGAATTTTTATCGTTTTTGTTATTTCTGTGCTCTTTTTCATTTGATGTAAAACTATTTCATTTCTTATTCGATCAACCCAACTTATGGGCAATACTCGACGATAAAACCACATCTCAAAGGCATCCAATTTTTTCACATAAGTAAGGGTTCAGCTCTCCATACCATACAGCAATGTGGAGAATATGTAGCAGCGTATTGATCTTATTTTAAGGTTTAACGTAATATCTCTATTAATTAGAATTTTCTTTAATTTATAGAAGGCCGTTATGGCTTTTTGAATGCGTATTCTTATTTCTTTATTTATATCCTAGTTATCGTTAGCGTTTGCGCCCAAATAGGTAATATTGTGGACTCTTTCTAACTATAATCCATACGCTCTGATGTTCGTTGGTTGTAACTCCGTTTTGCTAACAACCAAGTTTTGTCTCAGAAGTATTAAGTTTTAGCCCATATTCATCAAATGCTTCGGTTACCCTGTTTATAAGTCATTGTAGGTCTTCTTCATTGGAGGCAATAAGTACCGTGTCGTCTACATATCTGAGATTGTTGACATTAATTCCGTTAATTTTAATACCTGTATCTTCAACTAAGGCTTCTTTGAAAATAAATTCGGAGTAGATATTAAAAAATAGAGGCTAAAGAATACATCATTGCTACTCTACGTCGTATTTCCACTTTTTCCGTCGTGTTGTATCCAATTCGTATGTTTGCACATGACACCTAGAAGTTTGTCATGGTGTTCTTGGTCAAACGCCTTTTCGAAGTCGATAAAACACATATATACCGATTGTTCGATATCCCCACGATATCTTTGAACCATGACCTGCAAACTGAAGAGTGCTTCTCTGGTTTCAAGGTTGTTTCTGAAACCAAATTGTGTTTCACTTAGTTGTACTTCTATTTTATTGTAAATTCTCGAGTGCAGTATTCTTAGGAAAATTTTCAGTACATGACTAATTAGACTGATATTGCGATGATGGCTATACTGTTTGGCATTTATTTTTTTCGGTATCATTACAAAAGTTGGCAGTAGCCAGTTTATTGGTATACTAGATCATGTTTGGTATATTTTATTGAAGAGGCTTAGAAGAGACCTTATCGTCGAGTAGTTATCGGCCAGATAGTACTGGTAGTATTTGTTTATTTCTTCTCATCTTAACAATCAGCTGCACCTTAATTTACAAAATCAACAAAGTACAGTGACTAAGTGAATGAAGGTATTATGTGCATGCTGAAGACACACAGCACGTTATTCTTCTAAACATTCTGCATGTTAGAGTATCATAGCCTTTTCACCAGCTGACTAAATATTAAATTATGGCTAGAAGTGAATGGTAGATGGTGATATGAGAAATAATAGCACATAACGACTTCATCGCATTTAAGACACACAGCACCTTCTTCTTCCAAACATTCTGCATGTTAGTGTATCATAACCTCTTCACCAGCCGACTAAATATTCAATTATGGCTGGAAGTGGATGGGAGATGGTGCCATGAGAAATAATAGTACATAACGCCGTCATTCACAAAGATATCCAAATTTTTAAACAAATGTAAGCTAACACCTTCACCTTCCACGCCTTTCAGTTATAGTTGAAGACGAAAGTATTTGAAGCGTTATGTCTGACAAACTACAGAAATAATTGTCATAGATTGCAAGCTTCTTGATTTACACTATATATAAACTAAAGAAAAAACAGAATATTTTTTATTCTTATTATAACTTAATAATAAGAGCAGAGATTTAAAGCTAAAGTGAGTATTTATGGGTAGGTATACATTCCCGAATGTGTCTACATTAACTAGGCTAAGTTTGGGTTGATTAATATTTGCAATTTTTTTATTGTGTTTAAGAACCGATAAGATAACTAATAATACAATTATATCTTACAAAAATAGTAATCTCCATCATGTGATTTACGTACAAATTTGTCTAATTGAAAGTATACATTTATTATTGGGTATAAAAATTAGATAAAAAATTAATGTGTTAGAAATTATTGGCGAAATGTTTAAGAAAATATGTATGTAAAAAACTTGAAACAAACGAAATCTACATGTAGACCAAGAAGACAAACAACTTTTTCCCATTTAGAAAGAATAATCTTCTTCTTTTACTAAATAAGCAAATTGCCTGTTTTCTTCGACGTTATTCTTTAAATTGGAGACTTTTCTCGGGCTATTCTAACTATTTGTTGCTCTGCCATTGGACTGCTATAGCTGTTCCATTCTCTTTTCTTCCTTGCACCCATTCATTAATATTGTTTATTCTGTATAGGTCTCTAATCCCATTATTCCTGTTTCTGTCTAGTAATATTTTTCCGACTATTCTTCTTAGGATTCTCATTTCATATGTCTCGAAATATCTTGTCATGCTTGCATCTGATCTTGTTGCTGTCGTATATGTTATGAAAGGTCGTATTACTCGTACAGACTTATATGTTCACGCTTTTTTTTTTTCGTTTTCAAGGGCCTATTTTTCTATATTACGTCGTTAAGTCATCTCGCTGCTTTGCTTTTATCTTTTGGATCTTGTACAGGAGGAACTACAGAAATTTATTTGTTCTTCTTTTCCACCCATCCGTGGTCATGTTATCTCCACTTACTCCTTTTCTCTCCAAGCTTTTCAACAAGTTCTCTGATTTTTCAATAGTAATGCATCGTAACATAATATTTTTGGTTTTTTATTTATATAGATTAATTAGTATTTTTGTTTAACATAATTTGACTTCTTTAGGGTTCTTAAACCTCCGTATGTTATGTTTTCTATCATTAAAATGAAACATATATATATATATATATATATATATATATATATATATATATATATATATATATATATATATATATGTATATATATATATATATATATATATATGTATATATATATATATATATATATATATATATTGTTACGATTTTAAATGTTATGGCATATAGAACTGTAAATATTTTATGACTAATTCTTTTTATTGATTCTCGTAATTTGTAGGTCAAAAATATACCTGAGCTTAGCTACCAGTTGTTTACCAGAAATCTCTAGACACTAATTTTGGTGAATCATCCACGTCTCGAGGTTGAAAAACGAGTCGAGCGCCTTCACCAAAATACGAGACTATTCAAGAAGTCCGCCGAATTTTCTGGATGACACAGTTGTGTATATAAATGAAAGATTTTTATTGAAGAAGTCAGTCATAAGAAGATCGGTAAACGCGGTTTACTTGTACGAAACGTGAAATAAATACATTTGTAAAAGTTATTTAATAAATTAGTAATTAGCTATCGTGAGTTTTAATAAATTAGATTATAGACAAATAAATTCGAACTATATAAATATATAACAGTGGTGTCAGGTGTGGGGTTTTAAATAAATCTAATTTGAACTTTAAATAAAAAGAAGTGAAATATGACGACGATTTACGAGCTCACAGTTACGAATTTAAGAAGGCATCTTGAGGACAGAGAATTAGCTTCTACCGGAAAAAAGGCTGAGTTAGTCCAACGACTAAAGAATGCTTTGGAGGAAGAGGGTTTAGATCCGGAAACTTATATATTTGAAGATGCTGTCATCGCGTCAA